GGGGGGGGGGGAGGGGGCCAGCGCGCTCTCTGGTGGACCCAGAAGTGGATCAGAAGTGCTTTTGGTCCACTTCCGGGTCTGCTACAGAGTGTGCTGGGGAGCACCCTGTGCTCCTGTGGGACACTACTTGCACCTCAGCATCACAGCACTCACAAGCCCCTGCTACCTAGAGGTAGGTAGAAAAAGCATTTAAAGCGGTGTCAGTGTCCGAATCGCTGAATCTTTCCAAATCTACCCAAATCAATTCAGAGGGTTCTAATTTAATTTGGAGAAATTGAAGTCTCCTTTGATTTGATTCAGAGATTCAGCCACCAAATCAGGCCAAATCTCCACCTTATCAAATTGAGGACCGAAGCGTCGTACAGCCCTAATCAACTGTAAATAACTCCCTAGAACAGCAACTCAAGAAATGAACAAGTAAATAGGAGAATCCTAGGAAAATAAGATCTGCATCAGTCCTTTTTATTTTCTTAGAGTTATTTTCAACTAGGATCTCTGTAATCTGTGTGTAATTCACTGTAGAAAATTGTAAAGCATTGAGATGCGCAAAATTACTTGTGGCAAGACTAAAAAGTCTAACATTAAATGCTCCTCTTGTTGAAAAGAGATGAGGAAAAAAGTTCTGATGTAGACAGGAACTTTGAGCTCATTTCTAAGAATGAGGTCAAAATAACAGACGTAAAATTCCGTAATGATTTCAAGACCCTTTTTGTTTTTGTGATTGATTGGTTTTATCTCAGTGTTTGACATGGCATTTTTCTTCAACCTTCTGATGACATAAGCTATTGTACTATGAATAAAGAAACTGTTTTTGCCTTAGTTTGAGATGCACAGCTTTTTATCTTTTTTATATTTCTCATTTTCATTACAATATGTGAAGTTTCAATATTAACAGACTGTAGAACAGATGCAGATCAGTTTTCACTTAGATACATGAATGCTGGATGCCATTGTGCATGTAGCATGCCAGTAATTAAATGTATTGTCAGGATTAGTTTCTCCTTTGAAGAATTTTACATTTTCATTCTGTCTTGTAAATCAGCATACACACTGATTGATTGCAACTTTTTCTACATTCCACATTTTGCCTCAATTAGTGAGCATAAATGATTGGGTTCAGGGCATGCACCAGAGTAGTATAGTGAAGGATACTGTTGTCTGTAGGACTCCTGCTTTATATGTGGGAGCATGTTTTGGGAAAGTGACAGGCACTGAAGTAGATATGTTAAACTGAAATGGTTTTGGCATTAAGGTAAATGAATACCACCCAGGAGGAAGAAGTTTTATTCCTGTGGATTTGCCATAGACTTCCTGTGCGAGTCTGAACGTATTGGGTACTTCAAAGTATTTTATCCTCTTTGGACTAGCCACTGGAGGAGGATAATACATTGAAACAGTGGTTAGACATGCCTGAGTTTCCTCATCTTGCAGACAGATACCTAAGTTTGGGCAACAACTTCTGGAAGGTCATGTGACTTCACTTGGGTAAGCTATATTAGATTCTAAGTTGTATTCTTAGTTCATGCATAACTTCTCAGTGTCATATGAGGTCTTCCTCAATCATAAGCACTGTGTAGAGCACAGAATTTTTAATACCAGTTGATAGATGAGATAAATATAAGAATCAGAGTCTCTCTGCACCCAACCCATTACACCTTAGCCCAAATAGCGTTTTGATGGGAGGGTCAACCAACAAAGGAGAAGATGGAGTATTCTTTTGCTTATGTCCTGCCCAAAGGATCAGTTGTGTATGATGTGCTGAAGCAAGGTACAGGGATGTGACATTTCCAGTCCTAATACATGTTGAGGTGTCACCTTCTAGTAAGCACCACTAAGCAGACCAGACTGGGAAGGATCTTTTTCACCATGCTGCAGGCTAAGACGACATCAGAGGTCCTACAAACAAGTTGGAAGTCTTTTTAGAATTAAAAGTGTGAATCAGTCTAGAGTGGAATCATTCCTCCTTTCTTGTAATGACTGTATGTGTTTTAACACTTGATGTCATCACAGCAGTGAGCAAACTGAACTAATTATTTTTTACAATCTCTTTGAAGAATAGAGACATTATCCCCTTTTACATATCGGAAAACAAATATTTTGGCTAGTAGGACTGATTTGACTGATGCTTATGTTAGAGATCATGAGTTGTGATTCCCAGTACTTTGTATGCTGCACTGACTCCTCACATAGGAATGTCCTCTAATGTCCAAATCTCACGTAATTGGCTAAGTAGACGGTATGCTGTATGTATAACTGGTCATATGCATAAACAGTATATAACTTGGATTATGGATAAGTTAGAAATTACTAGACAGCAGTCTAGCATTTATATACTGTTCTGTTAAGCAAGTTTAAGAGACACTATTGTTCAAAGAAATGAGTTGTGACCACTATTAAAATTTGGGTTTTTCAGATGTGGAATTGGGTCAGTCTGACTACCAGATTGCTACTAGTGAAACTTTTATTGTTTTTACTTTTCCAGTTGGCCTTGCTGAATTTCTTCCCCTCTGAAGAAAAGCTGCATCTTGGAGAAGAAAGTAGACGTGCCCGTCGAAATAAAAGGAGTAAAAGTAGTGAAGGGCCAGATGGTGAGTTTCCTTCTCAGTTTCATACTTGTCCCATTCCTCATTTCTTCAAAGGAGGTGAGAAACTTGCAGTTTTTCAGGTAATGTTTGTATCCTGGATTGCTTTTGTTGACAAGGGTGCACCTGTCCCTTAATGTAGTTCCTCCTTGAACTCACTTAACATCCAGATCATTAGTTCCATCCATTTTTATTTTCATATCATGCTAATATGATAAATTACGTTAAAATTTCTTTCCAAATCAATCAAGATTTATTCCAACTCACATTTGTATTTTTTTTTTTTATCATAACCTGTGATTCAAAGGGCCATAATTTCTCTAACGAAGAGACTTCGGACTTTCTTTTGCATATGGTTTACTCATAGCTGCCTCTGCTTATCTTGTGGCACTGCTATCTGCATTCTTAAAATATTTAGTCAGTTAATTCTAGTCCTAGACAGTTTCAGAAAACTCTGTCCTACACTATGGAAGTATGTTGTAACTGGCTTCCTAAAAATGACAGTGAACAGTGGGTCCATGATCTACATCAGTAATGCTCATTCTCCAGCCCATGGGTCAGATATGTCCCATGGAGCCATGTCATTTAGCCTACAGGGATACCCCCAGGCCTGGAAATCTGGCAGTGGGGGAGTGGTGGCAGCATTATTTTCCATGGCTTCCAGATGCAGGAGGCTGGATCCAGCCCACAGACTGATCCCACCCATGGGACTTGACCGACTAATTGGCTCTATGCCACTCATCCAGCCCGTGGGTCTGGAAGGTTGAAAACCACTGATCTGCATTACTTACTTCCCAACCCCAAGCCCTGTCAGGTGTCAAACGTATGTCTTTTGTCCCTGCTTGGACAGATTAAACATGAATATTTTGGTTTTGAGCCATGCAAGTCCTATATTTCTGTCCTATCTTTTGGAGGACCTTATGCTACAGTATAAGGAGGTTAAGCATAATATGGCTCCATCATTTTGTCTGACACTGGCTATGTCTATGCAGCACACTTACTGTCACCAGCAACAGCACTCTGACATACTCTTCTGCTCTGGGAATACTGGAAACAGTGTCTCACTACCTTTTGTGAAGTGGTTTTGGCTGACTGATTGTCACTGCTGAGTAAAAGTGTCAGCTTGTCTGGCTGAACAGACATGGCTACACTGCTTCCAATTCAAGATAGCTGTCTGCCTGGAACAATGCAGCATGCTTGAATGAAACCACCACTTCTGGGTATAATACTGTCTATATAGCCATGGTTTGGATTATACAATCTGTCAACTCCATGTAGCATCCTTTTCCTCCTGTCTATAGCCCCCACGTTGGACAAAACTGTGATATCACTGTATTCTTGAAAGATCTTGGCAGATGGTTTACACTCCCTCACCTGTGGGTATGGGATTATAGGCTTCTTTCACAAGGTATAAAAGTGTACTTCAGGACATGGTTCCTGCACAATGATATAGTTTCATAGATTTAGGGTCGGAAGGTACCTAATAGATCTTCTAGCCCGACCCCCCGTCAGGGCGGGAGAACAACAAAACCCCAAAACAAGAAACGGGACTCAAATGAGTCCAGCCAGGTAGGCATCCAGCCTCTTCTTAAAGACCCCCAGGGTAGGGGCCAGCACCACTTCCCTTGGAAGTTGGTTCCAGCTCCTAGCCGCCCTAACTGTGAAGTAGTTTTTGCGGATGTCCAATCTATACCTCCTCTCCATCAACTTGTGCCCATTACTCCTTGTTATGCCAGCGGGCGCTAGGGGAAACAGCGTCTCCCCCAAACCCTTCTGGTCCCCCCTAGTGAGTCTATAGACGGTCACCAGGTCCCCCCTCAGCCTTCTCTTGTGGAGGCTGAATAGGTTCAGGTCCCGCAGTCTCTCACTGTAGGGTCTGCCCTGTTGTCCCCGGATCATGCGGGTGGCCCTCCTCTGGACCCTCTCCATGTTGTCCACATCCCTCTTGAAATGGGGCGCACAGAACTGGACACAATACTCCAGCTGTGGCCTGACCAGCGTCGCGTAGAGGGGGAGGATCACCTCCTTGGCTCTACTCGAGATGCACCTGTGGATGCACGACAAGGTCCGGTTAGCCCTGCCAACCATGACCTCGCATTGTCGGCCCATGTTCATCTTGGAGTCAATAATGACTCCAAGATCTCTTTCTGCCTCCGTGCTCTCGAGTAGGGAGTTCCCCATTGTGTAAGTGTGCTGCTGGTTCCTACTGCCCAAGTGCAGCACCCTGCACTTGTCCGTATTAAAACGCATCCTGTTCCTGTTAGCCCACCCCTGTAACCTATCCAGATCCTTCTGCAATCTCTCCCTCCCTGCTAGCGTGCTCACCTCCCCCCAAATTTTGGTGTCATCAGTGAATTTAAACAGGTTACTTTCCACCCCATCATCCAGATCGCTGATGAAGAAATTGAACAGCGCAGGCCCCAGGACCGAGCCCTGGGGGACTCCGCTACCCACCTCCCCCCAGGTCGAATATGACCCATCCACCACCACCCTCTGAGTGCGACCCCTCAGCCAATCTGCAATCCATCTGACTGTGTAGGCATCGATGCCACAGTCGCCTAGTTTTTTAACTAGGATGGGGTGAGAGACGGTGTCAAAGGCCTTGCTGAAGTCCAGAAAGACTACATCCACCGCGACACCTGCATCCATGGCCTTTGTGACCTGATCGTAGAAGGCAATCAGGTTGGTCTGACATGATCTCCCCCTAATAAATCCATGCTGATTGCCCCTGAGCATCATTTCTGATGCCGGCCCATCACAAATGTGCTCCTTGATGATCTTCTCAAAGAGTTTCCCCAGGATTGAGGTAAGACTGACGGGCCTATAGTTGCCCGGGTCCTCCCTCTTCCCCTTCTTGAAGATGGGGACCACATTTGCTACCTTCCAATCATCTGGCACCTGGCCCAAGCACCACGATTGCTCATAGAGCCGTGCCAGGGGCCCTGCGATAACCCCAGCTAGCTCCCTCAACACCCTGGGGTTATATGAGGTTAGTAGGACTCAGTAGCTCAGTTACACACAGAAGAAACTTTCTTTACGCTGCTCCCCAGCCCCGAGATGGTGTCCCACTTCCTGTTCAGCAGCTAATTTTATTCTCCTCCAATACCCACCTCCCAAAACCCACTACGTGCTTTCAACACGTAGTTCAACACGTAGTTATACGTTCTCCTTCATCAGTCCGTTAAAAATATCACAAACTATATAATTTATTCATTATGCAGTGTTTCATATATTATATATTATTCGTTATATCACTTGCCTCTCCTTCTCCATCTGTCTAATTTGTCTATTGTCTTGTTCTGAGTAGGTCTAAATAAGATTGTGAAATCTTCAGAATATGGAACCGTGGCTGCCTATACCCATGCTCCTTATTGTTCTAATTAGAATGCTGCAGCGTCACATGTATTAAGCCCCTGCGCATTTTAAAATGGCTGTGGGGGCCCTTTACCTAAACCTTATCAAACAAGCTTTAGATAAATGGCCCCCACGGCCATGTTTAAACGCGTAGGGGCTTAATACACGTGATGCTGTGGAATTTTAATTAGAGCAGTTGTCCAGCAGCCAAACTAATAAAAACACTACCCCGTCTCCCCCAGCCCAGAGCACATCCATAGACTTGTTACTTACTCTGAAGCTCTATAAAACCTTAGTGCCACCAATACAGTTATTAGGAGTAATAACCAAGGTAGAGGCTGGTTGTTGTTATTTCCTGGCCCCAAAAATCGCCAGAAATGAGAGATTGCCAAAATATACTGTTAGCT